AACTATATTTATAACCCCTATTAGGGGACTGAAAACTCCACTTATAACTACCCATGAACCTGCAAGTATGCCCAAGATCCATGCGTTTTACCAGAAGATTACACAATCCATTACGGTATATTCCATGATAGGCCATATGATATTGCGTTGGTACAATTATGCTATAATGTATCATATCATGTTAGGTTGTGGTATAGTAGATGACAATACATATTTCTGAGTTTATACTATGTTATTAAGACCATCTGACAGCCCAAAAGACATATTTTCCGGCAAGTCGCTTCATCGCCGTTGGTGATGAAGACTCCGGCTGTGACAGGGTCATCTGCGGGCCATGGTTCACCTCAGTTCAGCTCACCAAGGATTATCTTTGCAGCAAGGGGCGGAAGTCTACACTATTTTATGTCGAGCTGTGCTGCGTAGGAATAAAACCCTAAACCCCAAACCCCTTTTTGTGATCCGGGTTGCTGCCACTTTGTGATTGACCTGCCTCTGGTTGCTGCGAGTGAGAAGGCTCCACTCGTACTCCTCGGGGAGCATTCACACACGAGCTGCCAACGCTGTCTGCAGAAACATATACGGCAACAATATAAACTCGAAAGCCTATAAACCCTAAATCCTACGAAAATAAATATACTGCAAAAATTGAGATAAACTCTGAACTTGAAGCTAAACCCTAAACTCCCTAAAACCTAACAAGAGAAACCACAGCTGGAAAATGTTGCAGGCGTCCTGGTTTGGGTTCAGGCCTTGCACCGTTGCGCTCGCAAGACCTCCAATGGCTCTCACCTCACTTGGGTAGTTCTCTAAAAAAGGGTCCCTTTTTAGGTACCCACTATAGTACGGCACCCTTGAAAAAGGACCCAAAGACTCTAATTTAGAAAACTACCCGCTTCAGAACTGTAGAGCCGGAAAGCGTACGTGGTTGTTTAGCGCCCCCTTAAAAGAGGGGCGTATGCCTCATACTGTTGATGGACAAAATCCTGCATGGCCCAAGTATAGTATAGTACCATAAATCCCATAGTTTAGGTATATATGGTCTTATATACCCAAACTATGGGATTTATGGTACTATACTATATTTGGGTCATGCAGGATTTTGTCCATCAACAGTATCTTAGGTAGCTAGCTCGGGTCTATAGAGGGAAGATGGAGGGTCCAGGAGAGTATGGCGACACGACTGGCTCATGCCGTTTAGGGTTCAGGGTTTAGGGTTTAGGGTTTAGGGTTTCGGCAAAGTGACATAACCGAAGGGCTTCAAGATCTCCGTCCATCCGAGCAGCTTCACGGTGGAAATCTCTCCCAACTTCTCCTAGGGTTCAGGGAGATATGCCTCAAAATAAGTAAGGATATTTATAGGTATGTCTGGGTATATAGACATATATAAATATATACATATATATATATACATACACATTTAACATATTAACGTAATACACATACTTACATACGTACATACATACATACATACATACATACATACGTACATGCATACATACATACATACATACATACATACATACATACATATATATATATATATACATAGCGTAGAATTATGTGCAAAGCGCGACCCCTATAGTCCGTGTATATGGGTAGTTGTCGAAATTGGGGCCCGTTTCTAGGTCCCAAGTATAGCACGGCACCCTTATTAAACAAAGGACCCTAAAAGGGACCCTGCGAGGCCTCATAGGTGACCTCGCGGTTCAAGAGTCGGGAGGCGTTTTGCTGGAAGTCGGCTAAGCCTCCTGCGGTGCGGGACGGAGTTAATCTAGGGGCCTCAATGCTTAGAATTGGGTTTGGAGGTATATTATACTATAGCCATAATAAGGAACCCCCAAAATAGT